AGCTCGCCGTCTATAAACCATAGACTAAAGAGTAAAAACCATAAGAGCCAACAATAGCAACTGGCTACATACGAGTAGATATATGCGAGCAGAGGTTCTCTGGTCGTCGTTTTCGCTTTTGGACACCACTGCGGCAGGAGCGGCTGCACGTCGGGTTTCTTGGAAACAACCGTCATTGATTTTTTTGTTTTTTAATATTTTTCTTTTTCAGGTTCTGCCGAAAACAAATTATTATTATTGTTATTATTATTTTTATTGCGTGTGTGTGTGCGTACTGCGGTAAAACAACAATAAAATTGTGGGTAAAAGTTATGATTTTTTTTTTTGATTTTTGGTCTCACCGTGTAGCGCTCACAATTGTTATTTGTGCGTGTGTGTGCGTAGCGCACATAAACAGGAAGTCTAAAAAAACGATACAGAAACCACCGGGAAAAAAGTTTACATTTAACTATATAATATTATATATTACATAAAGTATAAAATTTGTAATAATAATACATGTACTATATGCATGTGAGTACTAAGTACCTACCGACTACCATCATATACCATCGCGGACCTGAGCTGTGCAATATTTCCTAAGCTCGATATTCGGTTCTGTCGTTTTTTTTAAAAAAAAAGTCGTCAGTGAAAAATCATATGGAAGAAAATAAGATGGATATACACACCCCATCATTGTATCAAAGAAAAACTAACAGACTTTTTTTTCACTTATTTAGTTTTTATTAGGTTGTTGAAAGTTGCACAATAGCAAAGTTTTTCAACCGTTATATTTCCTATCTTTTTATATAATAACTTATCAATAGGTAGACAATTCGGTATTTTCTAAATGAACCATCAAACAAGAAAAAATATGCATACGCTTGAAAAGGAAATGATAATTATTACATCCTGTCGTAATATTGAATAATATTAATTCAAATGAAAAACAAGTAATTCCAATTTCAAACTTTTTTATTACTAAAAAAAACAATTATCTTCCAATTTATGTTTAGGTATAAAGTATAAAAAAAAATTGTGCTCAGGAAATGAAGTGTTAAACAGTAAAATATAAAGGTAGTTGCTACCATATTCGAAGTATAAATCATTTAATAATTATAATATTGTTTTAAATGATATTTTTTAATTGCATTTTTAAAATTTAAATAAATAATTATATTATTTATATAGTAAAAGTATTGCTACTCAATAATTAACGAATATTTTAAATCGTTTTGAATATTAAAATATAAAAATATAATCAAAACACAAAACTATGTAATGCACATCATATTAATAAAAATATAAATGCATCTACTTTAATATAAGTATATAAGTACATTATTTTAAATCGATTATGGAAGCAAAATGTAATTTTTTAAAGGTAATATGATAAAATTTATATTCATGAATTTATCACAATAACTACTCCAAAGTATAAATAGTGATTTCATTCATCCTTTTTTTACATAAGTATTTATTACTTATTAGCCGAGTACCTAAATACAATAATTTACAAATCATTAGAGAGATATTTTAATAGAAAACTTAATTTTTTTGAAACTTATTACAGAGTTGATTGCAAAATATTATAAAACAAAAAGGACGCCTGTAACTCCAATTCCAATTTCTAATGTCCAATTTATTACTATCCAGTTGATTTCCAGTGCCCTTTTAAAACCGGTCAAATATGATTTTAATGTGAATACGATTCAATTTCGAAAATTATTTTACATTTTAAAATGCCAATATTATGATTACACTGAACAACTAACTTGTAATAGTTACAACTATGTTATATTATAATACCTATACTCGTATTATAATGTCACCCTCAAAATGTTGTTTCGCATTAACGCCTGCGGTGCAGTACTTATATAATAGCAGGGTTTTGTGTTTTTTATCAGTTGTTGTGTTGGCGGGAACGATATGGGCATTAATCGAACCTTGTTTTTTTTATTATTATTAATTTATTCGTTCACACGTTCTTTCAACAATCGACAGATGAAAAATTCACGACATCGCCCGTGGTTCCCAGATATAAGTCAGGTGTAAGTCAGAAAATCTCGGTTGGCAATTGGCCGAGTTTGTTCAATGAGTTGGTAAATATTTGTCATGACAAAATAAATCAGAACGAAATTTGCTTTGAACGTGAAACAGCAATTGATGGTTTCCGTTGTAACTTCCAATGAAACATTATCCCTCTGGTGAGAGCATGTGTTCTACCCGAAATCAGACACGAATCAATGGTTTCCTGTCCTTCATCATATATATATATTCATTGGCCGTTCCCATTAAAAATATATAATATTAAACTATCGATAATTGACAATATTTTATTATTATAAATATTTATTGCAAACATATTTAAGTCAAATTGTTTTGTATTTCAAATAAAACATATTGCCAAAATGATATACTTTTATACTAAATATTAATACTATGAACAATCGAATTTGGCTTTTACAATTTTTTAGCTTAAAAACAATTATGATACTAATATAAAATATTCTTGGAAAATTAATTACATTTAATTTATTTTATAATATTAATGTCCATCATAACATTTATCACAAATGCTCAATATTATGATATTATAATCCTTATTATTAATTTAAACTTCACCGTTTAGTTATTAATATTTTAAATTTGACATAAAAATTAATTGTAACTTTTCAATCTTAAAAGAAAAATTATTAAATAATTAAATTTTATTATTTTTTAATTATAATGTTTCACCAAGTCTGTACAACAAATTGAAAAGTATTTTTTTTTTTAATTACTTAAAAGAGTTAAGACAATTAACAATATTATACTGACAACTTTATTGAATAATTGAATACTTGCAGTTACGCGAATATTTAAATTCCACTTTTTTTACATATAGCTTGATAAACTATGTTAATCTACTTCAATAAACATATTATAGGTATATTTTATTTAATTACAGACTTCTTAAAAATATTTAACTATTTTAACGAATACTTCAAAACGATATGTTTTTGGTTGGATGCACAAATGCACAACACATTTTGTTTCTAATTTAAAAATATTTTTGTTTTGGAAAAAAGCAAATTCTTCAAACTACAGTCCCACCTCTTAAGTCTTTCCTGCGATCAGATCACTGTTATTATGTAATTAGCCGAGAATCCGAACAGACAGTTATTTTTTTCCAGGAGGGTATAAAAAAACAACAATAATAATTATTAAATATTGTATATTACTATATTATATACAAATAATACCTATATACAATATCTTATATAATATTATACAGGCATATAAATATGTATAGGTAGGTACATAAACACTAACATCATGTGAAGGGTGTTTCGTGCATTTCTCATCCCCTCCACTACCGTTCACGGCGATTCAGTAATGATGACGACTACGAAACCGACCGACCTTGAAACGACAGGGCGCGCGCACACAAACACACAGATTTATACCCCCTCGCTTCACCGCCGTCCGCTAAAACAACCCTCTGCGCCTCGTCATCTTCGGTTCACACACGCACACACACACTCACCCGCACATGTGTACAATATAATGTTGTCGGACGGCCAAGCCTCTAGATTCCATCATACCGCTCGCCGCGCTGCACAGTTCCAGACAAAACCATCGCCAAACTGGCGCCTCTCGAAAACGCGTATTATAATGGTGTACATCTTCTCTGTACGCGTATACCAGTCGGCGTAAAATATTGGCCATGCTAGGGATCCGCCTACCTGTTATACACGTTATGATGGGGCAAGGGAGATTTTTAAATTAAACGAAAGCCAAAAAAATATATAATAATAACCATTATAATATGTTTTATTGTGTGGTGTGTTTTGTACAAGAGAATCTGCCAGATGAATTCTGGATGTAGCGTATGTATATAATATATATTATATCTAATATATATTATATACTATAATAAGTAAAGAAGAAAAAAACGATTTATCAATATAAAACTACTATAAATAATCATAATAATTTAACGCGTATGTGCACGATTGTGTGTGTTCATGCCGAATTTTCCCACACACTATAGGACCGGCAGTGTTCTTTTTGAACCAAGCCAGTATCAGCTATTGTTTACGAAAATCTCTTAACTAACTTAACGATTTGTTTTTACATAGGTTAGGCTATAAAACTTTATGTCGCTGGAGCTCACCGTATGCGTTTGGGTCGAGTCATATTTCATTTTAAATGCGCATACATTTAGTTAAAAACGTTAATTGCTATTAAAAAATATAATTACTAGAGCAACACATCTTACCTGAGGTCTTAATAATGCTCATAATTTTTTTGTCCACTAATAAGTCGATACTTAGCCATAAATTTAGCCACTTTTTACATCTTCGTTTTTGATTACGATTCTTACCTCTTGCGATGTTTGGCCTAGTTCAACAATTTTAGGCGACCCTTCGATGTACAACCTGTTTTTTTCTAGTGCTACGGTGGCGGTGGCCTTCGGAGACTTGAACGCCACCACGTGCATTAGAATACTTTACACAAGAAGACTGTATACTTACAGCGATTCAAGGGTGGGGGTTGGTTATAACAAATATAACACGACCTCACACAACAAGCATTTAGTTGGATACACCCAAGGTTGCCAACCTCACATCTGAACCGGTACACTCGCCGAGTGTCGCATATGTGGGTCGTCTAAAAACCCTAACCGGTTATAATAATCTGCATATATATTGTACATTGTGTATATGTGTATAATGTGTATAATGTGTATAATGTGTAGATGCATTAGCATAAGCGTGTTATATAATTTCGAGTATACGATGAAATGACCTCTACGGAGATTAATTGAAAAACGGTCGACAACTTTGTTCTTTTCCCTTTTCTCTAACCCCGCGTTGAATACCGCCTTGAATAGAATTCATAAATCACCCGCTCGGGATAGGTATACCCTGGCTGCAATGTTGCTGGGTCAGCTAATGAGCGCCGAGTAAGCATAAAACTTACAAAAGCCGTTGGTCACTCAGCCCTTTTCAATAAAAATAAAAAATAAAAACACAAAAAAACCGACCACGTTTATTAAGGACACGACTTAATCGCTGATTCTTGTTATATAATATAATCATTATTTTTACAACACGTACATTTACCATCGCAAGCTCAATTTCAATTTATTAGGATCAGGCACAATGCATTTGCGAGTTGTTAATTTACAGGCAAGAACCGACTTCTTTACGGCAGGTTTGTACTGCAAGTTTTCAGGAAGTTCCAGAACCACAGTCCTGTACGCAGTCAACGGCACTCTTTCAGTACAAGTCACATCGCCTTTATGCCCAAAACAGAACATTAAACATTATTATTAATATATTCAGTCCATAGAAAAAGAAGACGTATTAACGGATTTTACTGGTTGGTTGGTCAAGTTGAGGCCGAGAACTCATCAGTACCGTCATTAGAGGGTTTATCTGAGCAGGTTTTTGGATTTTCATCGTCCCTTTGTCCGGGCACCTGCAAAATACGAATAAAATTATTTTATCGTCGGCGACGTTTCAGCAGGTGCAACGTGCAAAGAGAGGAAATCGACAAACAAAATACGCAATTAGTACGGTTTGAATTTAACTATGTTTCAAAGTATCTATACATTTTCGAATAAACAGTTATCGTGAGCGAATTGACCAAAGAAAAGATGACTACTATAGTAATTGGCTCTATATACAGTTTTAATAATAAACCATAAAAACAATATTATAATTATTACATAATTTCACTAGAATTCCTAAACTTATATTGCAATATCACTGAATGTTGTTATTTGTTATAATTAATAAGCAATTTATTTTTCTCATTACAAAGAATGTTTCTTCTTTGTCTTATACAATTTATCAAAAGAATCCTAAGGTTATATTATTTTATTTATTTAAGAATATTACCCATTATTATTTATTGAGTAATATTTTACGATATTTTATTTTATATTCATTATGATATTAATTATTTTTCATTACCTTTTTGTACTAACTCATATTGTTTGGATATTTTTCAATTTAATCAATTTAATTTTTTTTCCAAATTAATTGATAAAATCTAGGTAAATATTGGACATAAATCATAAATGTACTTGCATTTTCATTTTATAGAGGCTTATTGGAGCAAACACCAATAGTTTTACCATAATACAGTCCTAACTTAAGCTAATATAGCCTATCCAAATTGTCAATAATTAAATTATATCCAATCAAAGGGCAAATGTTAGTGTACAAATCGTTCAGGTTATATATGATTTGTCTTTTTTTCTATAAATAGTGTTAGCATCGGAAATCTTTAATATTACATTATACCAACGCATTATAATATACATTTTCAGCAACTTATTCATGCTTGATGTAAACAGTTAATATGTCAAGTAATTATTGATTAATAAGTAGTTAAAAATTATAATAATTTAATATCCCACGTAAATTTTAGGCAATATAGAGTGCAATTAATATCAAAAAAAGGTATGAACTAGAATGAGTTATTAGTTTATCGATAGTGCCATAAAATAAATATCTAAACCACTCAAACGGCAACAAATATCCGATGCTATCCTTAATTCTTCCGAAGTAATATATTATAGTATAATACAAGATATAACCTCCAACAAAAAGACACATTGTTATATGCCACATTCGATTTCCAACAAATTAATAATAAAAACAGAGTATGCAAAATAGTTCTCCATTTAAGTTAGTTGAGTTGTGTTTTTTAGTTATTAACAAACGTATGTAGTTATATTGTTGAATAAACTAGAATTAATTGTAATAATTATTACTTATTAGTATATAATTCCACATAATTCTAGTATTAATTATAATTAAATATGCTGATGGTTAATCGATTATTATTAATAAACTATTAATATTTATATCATTCACAATTCACTTTTGAAATATCTTACCCTATTAAATTTATTTGTGTGCATTAATTTGTTTATGTTATTCCAAATTGTAATTATGATATTTATAATATGTATCACATTAAGTGCACCTACAATTAATGTAAGTATCAAAGTATGAAACAGCATATTTTACAACTATTTAAATTGCATACAGAGTAAATAATATATTATCATTGTGGTATAAATAAAATACGTAAATTCATTAATTGACGAATTAACCATCAACGGTATTTTAAATTTTGAGCAGAACGATGAATGTATTGATGTTAGTGTTTTAGAGATGATGTTTTAAAAAAAAAATTATGTTAGCTGACACATATAGTGTCTAAACTAAATACTCAACAAATACATTTTTGTAGTAAACAAAATTCATTCATTTTCAATTTCAAAGATTATATCTCATTGGAGGTTGAAGTTAGTACTTTGGAGGAGGGAGAAAGGAGAAGGGCTCCAAAATGTAAATATCTCCATACCTTTTCTTGATAAACGGAAAAACTAGAAAAAAAATATGTGGACTTCAGCAAAGAATATTTACATAGCACCAACTTTTGGCAAAATCTATTTTGTTGTAATTCAAAAACAAATAATCGCACACACTTCAAATGTTCAACAAATATACATATGGGCGGATGATATGGTAAAATTCAAAAAAATATTTTAACTATTTTTTAACATATCATTTTTTTTTCTCTATATACATGTTGATTACAATTTTTATGTTTATCCGCAAAGCTTGAAAATATTACATCCCTCGCGAGTTTTTCTTAAATTAGTTTAAAAACCTCGAATTTGGTTTTTGAACGTAATTAAAAAAATATTATTCGTAGGGACTTCTTTTCGAATTTAACTACTTATATTATTATATGTTTTGTAATTTATTCAAATTTTTTTAAACATTTTTAAGTACACTTAAATACTATATTTCTAAATAATTGGGATTCGTAGGTAGGTACTATTATTCTATTTGTACTTGCACAAAGTTAAATAACTCAAAACAGGTAAGTTTCTTTCGAAAAACTAAAGTTTGTATCTCCATTAGACACCCATTAGGACTTAATACTACTTAGTAGTACGAAGAATCTCTAGAATTTTAAAATATTGTTTCTTAGTAAGTATATTAAATAATTTCAGCAAAATTTTGAATAATAATATTGTATTATTGATAGAAAAAGGGAGTGAGCGTATTCAGCGAATCAACCTGTATAATATAATATTACTAATAAAAAATACATTTCTTTTAACAATATAAATACGTAACAAAACATCCTTAGAAATATATGTAGGTAGACAGCCTTCGCTTAGAATCGTTTTTCGAATACGAAAAATGATGTATTATTGAATTGTAATTAAGTACATCCATTACAGTGACCTAATCAATGGTGAGAATATTCGAGAACTGCATACTTTAATACAGTAGATTGACTTCCCAAGTTTTTTCAATTATTTTGCTATTAATTATTCAAAACTGCAATGATTTTACGGCTTAAAATTGCAAAAATTCCAAGTTTGCAAATTAAGCATAATTTTTATTATGTAGCTATCTAAATATTTAAAATACAAGACAAATTGATTTGTAGAGTTCACTTATGACAACTGATAACAATAGGTTTGTCTCGAGTACCAAAGTTAAATGATTGTTAATTAAATAAATTATTTTAGTCATTAAACAAATAAACAATGAAAAATAGCAATTCATTTTAAACATAATAAATAATAATTGCAAATTAGATTAAATTTATTAGAGTAGATCATAATCTAACTTTTGTTACTAAGAAAATTAAATAATTTACGATAAGAGACATATAAAAGTAACTTTGTAATATATTTAAATTGTTCTATAGTTAAAATACAATTAAGAAGCTTAATTATTTTTTTAAAAGAATTAAATTAATCCTACAGTTTCAAAAAATCTTGTTACAAACCTTGAACTTAATAAGGAGTTTTTTTTAAATATCTTTCCAATAACTTAGTAAAAACAGAAAATTAAAACATGGGAAATATATTATAAAATATATAATATCATTAAAATATAAATAACAATAGTAACTATATTTTTACTATGAGTGATATAATTCAACAATATCATACATATATTTTTTTAAATAACAAAATTAAAATTAATTTATTTTGTATACATTTTCTAACACATAAAAATGTTACTGATAAAATACAAGAACATAAAATATATGATAACTGTATGTACGTGCTTAACGAATTTACATTTGTATAAATTATGAACATTTCGTGAGCCGCGTAATTGACTGGATTAATGCAATGTTGCGATTAAGGATAAATGTATTAATAAAAGTTTCTCTTATATAGCCACCGATAAACAAATTATAATTTATAAATAATAGTGATTTTTATGGATAAACTGTGTTAAAAAAATACAATAAACAATTTTACAAATTTTGGTAATTATCTGTTAATTTCTAAAACATCAAATAGCATCTACAGAAGGCATGTCGTAACCATTGAATTCTTATTTTCAAAATATATTACTATTTTTAAACATTTTATAATTAATAAACTGCAGTGTGTTATTACTGCAAATGGTCAGATGTCTACATTAAAGTAAGCTTTAAATAACATAAACTTACCACAGTACCACTAACTCACTAAATTGTGTAGAGATTTTATTTTTCTTTCATTTATACCTACGAGTCTACACTCTACATAAGTTAAGACAATTCTTTGTACATTACGAAAGTTTTAACTTCGTATATATCTTATATACATTAGAATTGCAAAAGTTATATCTTTACAAACTGTTTAGACTTGGATACAAATATTTAGTTTAATAAAATTACATGTTTCAAATATTAATATTCTTTTTTTTACTATTTGAACAGAATCAAGGGACAACACAAACTCTTAATTTTAAAATCGCAACCCTTTCCCGACAGTAATTTTTTTATTCAGTTTTTATTTGTTTCATTTATTATAATGATGCGTCATTATTAAATTATATAAACGGGTGGTTTATGAGTTACGTAAAATAATTTACATAGAATGTTTTTTTATTTAATTTTTACGATATCCAGGATATAAATTATTTAAATATTTAAATAAAAAAATTAATTTTATCTTATTTTCAAGCGTAATTTGGAATGGTTGATATTCAAACTTTATAAGATATTCAGTTGGCAAAAACTAAACTTTTTATTTAATAAAATCAGCATCTTTTATTTTTTATATAGAAATTGAAATAAATTGTTCTTGATTCTTTTGTTTAAAATTGATAATTAATTTGGCAAAAATGTTAACTGATACATTTCTTGCGTTGGATCGTCCTTCGACATTTGAATAGAATATTGATTCCAAATTCATATAAAATGTATAATATATACGAGAAAAAATAATACATCGTTTCATTATTATATGCAATGTTCTCATAATTTGTATAAATATATTTAATACAATTCATAAAATCAATAAGTTTGGTTAAGTTTAATTAATTTTTTGGGGAAACACAATAATAGTTTTATAAAAAGTAAATTTACTTGGTTTATATGAATTGTTTTAACATTTTTATTGAAAATGAATGTATATTCTATGATAGATTTGTTAATACTTCAAAAATATAAAAAGCCCTGAAAATAATTGGGTTGTAAAAGAATTCTGGATAAGAAAACATAAAAAATTATGTACTAATGAGTTCAACGTTCAAAATTATCTTGTTTATATTTAATTGTAAAATTCATTGGTGTATGATTTTTATAAAATAAATGTGCTAATTATATTAATTTTATTTTTGACTTACTTTGCTTTTCCTTTAGTCTTCCAACTATACGTTTCTTTACGGCTGATTTTTCTTTCATGACATTTGATTTTTGGTGTTTTACGACGGATCCTTCGGTCTTCTAAGTCCATTCTGTTGACCCGTATCTCTGGTAACCAAGACCTATTTTCTCTATTCAGCTTGAACGATGATTTAACTTCCTATTGCAGGTCACCAATTAATTGATTATAATGTAGCTAAATGAAAATATAACAATGTTATTTTTATTTTAATATTAAAATAAAAACTTAACATTTGATGACAATCGCGATGTTTTTAGGACGCTCACAATAACTTATTCGGTGTCTATGCTATATTAATCGGGAACAATCGTATAATTGCCAAAGTACTAAACTACGGGCGTGTATGTTTAAATACGTGTCGGTGAATAATGACAGGTGCCTGAATTTATAATAATAATGAATAACCGTGTCGGATTAATGTTTCAGAGCCGGTAACAGGGTGGTACGCCAGGTCAAGCGATGTTACGTTACATGTCGAGTAGATCGAAGAAGTTTTTATTCATATTTACATTTCTACTTTTCTACCCTTAACATACCCTGTAATTGGTTATTATCTAATAATAATATTAGACATAGAATTATAGAGGGTGTTTTGAATTTTTTTTTTCGTGGTTATTTTAACACTCTACAGTTTAGTCCATTCACACACATCTTGTGCATATTGAATAGTGTTAAAATTTACACAACGACACGCCCTTATCGAAAAAATAGACCCTCGCAAAAAGGATCGTTGAAAATACACACACAAAAAAAAGGAAAACAAATCTTAGTCGAATTGCAAAAAAACGTATTGGGACTGTTTTTGTTTTACTTTAAACTTTATACTATATACACCAACAAACATTGATAAAAATTCATAAAAAACAGACGTTATTAAAATACAAAAATATAAGGGGAAAATATTTCAATACCACCCTTCATAAAATTAATAACCATCTCAAATATTGGATAATGAAATGGGGTCATGGAGATGTAGTCAAGACTTAGATACATTAATATTTCTTTTCTCAATTATACTCTATAAAGTATGTGCTATTACTTATTAGTTATTATTGTGCATTAGGTAATTCACATAAATTATCTAGAGTTATAATCGATAGTACACTTTTCATAAAATACTTTTAAATTAATTTATATAATTACTTAAATGTTTTAATATGATTTTTATTTAACGCGCGAAGTAAAAACATTAAAATTTTTAACTTTTTAAATTTAATCAATTGAGTAAATTTAGTATTAGTGGTAAGTAGGTATATTATATTACAAGTATAAGTGCTGTTATTTAAATACAATTTTGTTAACATGTTTAATTTATTAATTTTAGTCTTTAAGACCACAATATATCAAAATAGTCTGTAAAAAGTTCAATTATTATAACGTTGTACCTAATTTATAGGCTGTAGTTATGTACACCTCAGAGATATTCTACACCACTCATATAATAGATAGACTATAATACTGAGTAATGTTTGTTTTCAATTATCATTTTATGTTATACTTTCTAGTTAAGTACTACACACAATTTAAAATAATTTGAATAATAATACCAACTCTCTATATTTTCTCAGTGTTTTACAAATCAGTCACTCTATAGATCTATTGAATACATTATATTTTACACATATCAATAATAATGAATTGTTGCATTATAATATAATAATATGGCGATACTTAACTTGGAGTTTGCAATGAATATCTTGTTCAAATATTATATATAGTCATATAGGTATAGGTACCAAAAAAAAACCAAAACATTACAATTTTCACCACTAGTAAATTGAATTGTAGTTAACGATTTGCGTCTGTAAACATAGAATTTTGAACTTCAAATTATATAACTTAATCAGCCTCTAATGATAAAAATGTAATGTAATGTAATTACATAGGTATTGGTATTATTGTGTATCTCGACAGTGAAATTTGAACGGTTTGTGTATAAGACTCGTTATAATTTCAGTATCATGGTAAAATATTATATAACTCAGCCTCATTGCTCTGCGTCCACCCAAATCTTTAATCACCACAATACCATGCTACGGAATACGGATTGACATCTTAGGATGCATACGTCATACATGTATGCTTGTTAAATTTATATTAAAATCTATTTCAAAATATAAAAAAGCATACAGCATTTTTTACTTCCTTTAACGATTCAGTAGACGTTGGCGAAATCAACTTCGTAGTTTGGTACGTTTTATGAAAAATATATTCTCGGAATGATTGTGTACAATTATAAATTAATTAAAGTTTTTATTTTGTTTTGGTAATAATGTGTTTTGTAAACAAATTAATCAAATACTGTGGGTGGATAGGAGCCTGCAAGTACACACATATTATACCAGTATATAGTAGGTACCTACACAACATTACAGCGACAGTTCTAGAATTACAAACGAACCGACCCGTGGTGTCTCGTTAATTAGTCGTGGTACAATTAGTCGCAAGTCAAATTTGTTCCAAAACAATGGTCGTGAAAATGTTATTTTATTTTTATACAATAAATGTGCGATACCGTTGATTGCGATGGCCAAGCGAACTTAGCACAGAATATTGGACAGAATTTCCCAATGAAAAGTTCATTCTTTCATCTCAGTGTTGATAATTAACTCAAAATTATTGTTTTCATTAGTATAATATTACTTTTAAGAAACTAATATTTTCATTGTTAACTTTAGTGTTGAGGTTATACCTACCATTTTATTACCAAGGTATTTTACATATTTACGTGCATAGGTCCTAGCAAAATATAACATACAACATCAATACATAATCGAACATTTTCCATTTTTTCCGGTAACATATACCTATAGTATAAATTATAAATATATTATATCATTTTATTATTTTAAAAATTTTAATTTATACACGATGTCTATAGCAGAGTAATACTATTATTGTTATGTACCTATTAATGTGTATTTTAAGGGGCTTTTAGAAACTTCAGAGGAGATAATAATGATGTCTACTAATTCCATTCTTTTATTCTCCTAGGTCCAAGCACTTAAAAAAAAAAATTGATCATATTTTAGTACTATCAACATGTCATCACGACCATATAAGCTACAGCCAGTATGTATTTAGAATTGAAAGGGATGACAAGATAAAATATTATTTAATATAATTACTTATTAGGTAGCTAATATAAATTAGTTAGAAAGTTATAAACATAAATCAGGCAATGTTATATAGAATATCTACAGAACAATAATTTATTCTTGTTGCCGTTATACGAAATTGCCTGGTGTTTTTACTTTTTTTGTTGCGCTATAAAATCCACAGGTATTGAACACAGTACCTAAATGCAATACTAAAATTAATAAAAACGTGTTATTGATAAAATAAACCTATATTTACAAAGGAGTTAAATTAAAATTGATCAATTATGAGATAAAAACGATTCCCGTTAAGTTTAAATATTAAATGAAGTAGGTATCATAATACTTTAGATAAAACGTTATAAATTAATACAAAGTAAAATCAGTCGATTGGCCAAAGAACTTATTAATGACATAACAATTAATGTGGAATGTAATTTTAAGTATTTGAGTTGATTCTATTCCTTACTACTAAGTAATCTAAAATCAAAATAATTCAATTCAATTTGTTGATAAATTCCAATCGTTATTTTATAGACACTCGAAGTATAAAAAACTTGTTGGGTCCAAGAACAACACAGTGTACTTATATAGTAAATAATTGAAAACTAGCAAAACTGCAAACAAATATTTGAATAATGTAAAGATAGTTGATATACAATTATTAAAACGTAACAGATACAACGCCGAAAGTTCAACGGTAGTAATTCTTCATCGACATAGCGAATTAAAAGTAAAAGAGGGAAATTAAGCAGATAGTTTTTACTAAAAGAGTAGTTAAAAAGAGCTATAAAAATTATTACTTGAAACAATATTCTCAATTTATTTCTTAATTGAAAAAATATGATAGGCATTATCTCATTAATAATACTTTACAGTTTCTAAATGTTGACAGTTGACTTACTAATATCTTCTAAAATTCAAATCAATGGTTTGATTTGGCAATATGTGTCTATAATGAACACTATTAGGAGCATTTTTTTACAAAGTGTACACGAAGTAACAAACGCAATAAAAAACATAGTGTAAAATACAAAAAGGTATTAAACTGTACGATATAGGTAACCAATATGCATTTATAATACTATTACACGTTATTTGTTGGATCGTTAATAAAAACAATTATTTTAAAATATTATAGAAAAAATAACTTTAAACTTTAAAGTATACATGTACTACCAAATACCGCGACAGTTTAAATTAATTATACTATAGCGCTGTTTAATAGGTTAATAAATTTAAAATGTTCAATATAATGTTATACCTAATGTTCACTATAAATAAATAATTATCTGTATAGTTAATACATACATTTTTTAATCGCTTAAATATGTTATATTATATACTTGCTAGCTACTATGAAGAGTACATAGTACCCACCTATATTATATACATATGATGTTAACTAAAAATGTAGAACTATACTTAAATTAGGTCACCTACGTTGAATACGTCATTTAAGTAAGTATAATATATTGTTATTTATAACTTAAGGTAATTTATTCTATCTAGACATATTATTAAAACCACGTATTACTTGAATCCTAAAACCTAATGGATTTGATATTTTGATTCACATACCTATTTATATATTTTACATGAAATAATTATATTAAATATTAATAGTTACATAAACTTTGTCATACAAGATACAACTATTTGCATACACTTGTGAATATTTATTATTCATACACTAAATATTATAATATTTTCCTTAACAATCATTTTACAATAGTTATACAGGTAGTAATATAATATATAAACTGATAAAAACACATAATATACCTATGTTATATATTTAATATTTTATTTTTCAACTTGGCCATATGCCATATTTATACCTATACCTACCAAATAATAGTAATAATAATTTAATAATTGTTTATTAAATAAAAATGGTTTATCGTTATCTTGGTAAAATTCTAAAATGTTAAGCGATAGTAGAAGCTATAGCAGGTATTATTATTGTTAAACAATATTCTCTAATATTATCACAAAAACTGATAGTTAATATTTATTGAATTCAGAATTTAGAATAACTCTAAATAAATCGATGATAAATATTTTAATACAACTGTTGATCTAAGATCAATCGTGGTTCATAAATAATTCAAGCAAAACTAACTCTAAGGCTTTAGCATAAATTAGAAATTTTTTTTTTTTTTTTTTTTTTNTTTTATTTTAGAACTTTTAGCTTAAAACTATTACAGTTCAACGATTACAACATTAAATAAAATATGAGTTATATAGATAATAACAAAGTATGTGGATAGTAATAACATAATACGAATAAAATAAAGTTAATATACCAATTAATAGATATTGGGAGTAAGTAGATAACATAATAGTTTAAGATTATACGTATAACATGACAACAATATAAAATCATAGGAGGTTATTAGTTTGCAAAACAGACAGTGTTATGTAATAAAATTATACAGTGTGATTAAATAATAAAGGTAATAGAGAGATAAGTATTAGATATATTTAAAATGAAAAATTTAGCTAAGGAGAGAGCTGTTTATGAACAACCTCGGTAAGGAGGGAAATTAGTGGGCTAATTAAGGAATTAAAATTAGATATAAATTGCGAAAGAATAGTAGCGAAGGCTTCAATGGAGGAATTATCGATTTTGACTGCTTCAGAAAAAGATTTTGTATGAGGCTGCCGAGCGTGATCTTCACAAA